ATTACTAAACCCAGTATATGCATTTAAATGTGTGGTGTGCAACACACTGACAGTTCCTACAACAGCAGAAAAAAAAAAATTAAATTACAATTGTTTGTGTGTGTACATCTGAGAAGAGCGTGCTATGTTACCCCACTGCTCTTGAAGTGTGTTCAGGTTGTCCAAAACCCTCTGGTGGTAGAGTCTCTCCAGCTGGATGAACAATAATGCACGCTGGTCTGAAAGCCAACAATTCAGAAAAATAACACACACAACAGGAACACAAAAGACAACTGTCTGCTTAAAAAAGTGACTTGTTTTCTACGTATGTGCCATTACAGGAGACAGATGTGTCAGAACTCATAATGAGCAGCAAGCCTATTTTTGATTTTTGATTCACTCAGTCCAGTCCTTTGACACAACCATTTCCAGACCAGAACATTTTTTTCTGCAGTTTTTCAAATCATTATTATGAAGGTTTATTATTATGATTGTTCAACTTTCCAAACCAGTAAGCAATGAAAATGCATCTGATTTAAAAGAAGAGCGGGACTTCCAAAAACGCTCAAGGCAAAAAGAGCAGGACTTGGCTATATATAACAGACTATAAAACTGCTTTAAACTGTATCTTTAGGCACTTTTTTTATGAGCAGCTGGATAAGAAGTCACATACATGTTCTTTTTTTTTTATAATCACTTTTAGTAAAACCAAAATATGCAGTTAAACAGGAACCATGTAGAAAATTAGACAATGTATTTTTTTTATAATTTTTGCCAAAAACATGGTATATCCAAGAATAGAATAGTGTGCACTAATAAAATAGGAAAAACATGACAAGTCAGGGGCAAATATGTGGCAAGCTAAGAGATGTCTGCAGCATCTGAAAGCAACAGGATCTAAAAGTCATGTCTTTAGAAGTTTGTACTTAAGAAACGGTGAGTTGTCTGTTATGTGTAAAGACAACATTGATCCATAATTTAGGTTTAGGTGTATTTTTAATCATTGAAATATTAAGTGGTTCATGCTAAATAGTTTAACTAACGGTAAGAACTAAATCTAAAAACAGCCATGACTGGATGGAAAATGACTGAAAATCGAGCAAATGTCCAATGAAACTTCAGAAAACCTACGGCTTAAAACCACGTTAAAGTTACAAAAAAGTCTGTCACTGTAGAAGCTAAATAAAAAGAAATGTCACATTTGTTTGTAGCACTGAAGGAGGACGAGGATAAACTGAGTGAAGAGGGAAGATAAAATGGAAGGGGTTCATCAGGATGCAGACTCATGTTTATGGATATGGGCAGCCAAAGCACAATCCTTCTTTGACATGACTCAATGCTTTCTCTCACTAACTAATGCTCCACGGACACATGGCAGCAGGGCTAGTTTCCTTTTTCTTTTATGCATTCATGCCTTGAATGCTATCGTCTTTCCACAGATTAAACCTCCAACTCTACTTTGCTCTTCTACCTTTTCCCATTCAGTTCATAAACCCTCATCATTTTCTCCTATTCTGTTTTAAGGTTTGACAGCATTCATATGACTGTACAGTATTACTTTTTATGAATGGGCCAACAGAATCACGGTGTACAACAATGAGCGATCAAGAATGAGCATTCTTTACAGGATCTTGTTGCTATGACGAAGGAGCATTTTCTTGTCAACATAAAAGTTAATGATCAAGGGAACAGCATATAGGACTTACACAAAAAGATCAAATAAATGTAATACCCACCACACACACACACACATGCAAGGATACAGTCTTTCTGAAGGACAAAGGCCTCAGCAATCTGCAGGGAAAGAGACAATACAACGTTTCATGAAGTACATGTGTTTTCTTGCCAGTTCTCACAGACGCAATTCTTAAGAGAAACTTGTTAAATAAAGGTTCAAATTCAGGCTAAAGTAATTCTTAAATAGGGGCATCAAAATAAATAAACAAATAAATTACACCATTGTGGAAGATAAGAAACTACACGAGCCAGAGCTAAAGCAGAGTAACAGCTACAGTGACTTCTGTAATCATTAACTGCGAGGAAAAAAACATTTTGTGACATAATACAGCTGTGCAATCATAGGTCACTTTAAAAATGCAGTGAACATTAAAATGAGGGTGAAATTATTTACCAATAAACAGAAAAATTAGACCATGCTGGAAACTCTACCTTCAGTAAATGTGGTGTTCGTGTCGCTCTGCTATCTCAGAACAAGAGAAGTGTGTGTGAGAGCAAGAGGACAAGGGGAGGAGGAGGACGAGGAGGAGCAAATGAAAACACACACACAAGGCTCTTGCATGTCCAACAACTGCATGAGCTTTCTAGGTACTGTGTTCACAGGCAGTCATTTACAAACAAGTTTGGCCAAATGAGAGTTTTAGATTGTTGCCAGTTTAGGTTTTTTAGAGTGTAGTTTTGTTTCACGTGTTTGAGTCAAGATAAGTCAACACTTTTGGGACCATCACTTAAGTTAAACCACTCCATCATCAAAAGTAACGTCTCTGCCTGTGAGAAACTGAGTTGAATTTGGATGTTTTATTTGTAGAAGCATTCACATCTCATTTACCGAGTGTCTCCTTATGGTTGTCCTCTATTAAAATGGTAAACATTTGATATATATGTTTTTGTACAGTAATAGGAGCCAAAACCTGACAGAACAGGAACTTTCAGGTCTCCTTTACATCAACATTAACTTTCTGAAAATGTAGCGTCTACAAGGTGATTTTTTTTAATTGATTTTAAAATTTGAACATATTATTAGGTTATGATTATGTTTGAAGTAAGGCATGGAGTTAACTCAGCTCTGACGGTTGAAGATCCCTTTGTTAATAGAGGATGATAATACTTTAGACATGTACTCTAAATGAACTACACTCATTTCTATTTGTACAGATTTTGAAAGTGTTTGATCATATAATACACCTGCCACACATTCACTTCTGTGACAATTATTTTTTGTTCAACTTGGTATTTTATCCTACTTTTAATAACACCAACCGGTACTGGTGAGGCTTTACAGTAAAAATAAACATTTATTCAGGTTTAATTTCAAAAAGTCTAAAATACCCGCCCTAAGTCAGATAAATGTTGAGAAAATAAAAGTATAAAGCACAGAGCATTTTTCTTTTTCCTGCACTGAATTGTAGAAAACATTTTAATTTTACTTGTGAATTGACCACAGCTTGTTATAACTGTGATGGCAAAAACTGCAACATTAAAAGAAAATTTTTTTGTTATATACCTGGATGACTGAGAAAACAAACTTTGTGATTAAAAGAAAATGGTTTTGCATCCTCACGTAGGCCTGAATGTAACACAGGTCAGGTAGGCCTGGTGGAGTGACCGAAAATGCTAATCACACTGACTAAAAGAAATAAATCACTGCACCTTAAAAATACGAGTTCAGTCATGCAGATCTACTGCATGTGTGAGAGTGAAAGCATGCCAAAGGCCTGAGAGTGTAGAGTTTTCTTTAATGCCGTGTGCTTGTGGCTTCTGTGCATGTCTGTATTTCTGTTTGTGATTAAAAGCAGAGAACACCTCTGCCTGAGGGTACAAAGTGCCATTCTGATTTTCAGGTTGAGTGGATAAATGACTGTGCTTTAAAAACTTGTGTGAGAGCAAGATTGAAAAAGACAGGTGTGACAGAAAGGTAGCAAGACCTCAATGAAAGGACAGACTGCCTGATCAAATGAGCCACTGATAAAAATGGTAGCAATGCACAGTTCATAGTCAATGACACACAGTGGAGATAAGACAGATTACCTGATGAAAGTATTGTGGAAGATGGGCATCATCGTCTCTTTGTGCCAACTGTTCGAGAGACTTCAGCAGATCGAGACTTAAAACGGATCCCTTTGAGCAAGTGGAGAATGAGGAACAAGTGGTCACTGGAATGGATATATTTTGTTCTTGACTGGAGGGTAAACATGGCATGGTGGAAGTGGATTCTCTATCTGTTGTATTAGGCCCAGTGGTGAAGGTGAGGGGCTCCGTTATTGCACTTGCAGGAGTGGAAACATCAGTTCTTCTTAGTTCAGTTAAGATAAATGTCACTGGTGCTGAGCTGTTAGGTCCTGTATCTGAGCTGGTGGACCCATGGGTGAAAGCGGGCCCACAGTTAAAAACAGGCTCCATAGATGAGGTATTGTGTTCTGCAGAGAAATCTTTAAGCGTCTTGTCAGAAGCTTGTGCGACACATTTAGGGCCAGCTGGTCCATCAGAGGTCATCATCTGTGAAGTAAAATCTACTGGTTCTGAGTTAAGAGTAGGCCCGTGCATGAAGATCATCGACCCAGTTACTTCAGCGTTAGCTTGGCTTAGTTCCAACAGACTGATGGGATGTAAAGTTTCCAGACTAACTACTGGAATGACAGGGGAGGTGGGCTCTGGACTGGGGCTGAAAGGATAAGGAGTCTCCAACAGACTGCCTACAGGGGGAAATACAGAGAGAAGTCAAATGAGAGAAACATGAGGAATGGTGGTGTCCTGAAAACAATGTGGGCTACGTAGATAACTGAAGTGCTTTTTGGGGAAAACCCCGTATGATGCAGAAAGATGGTATGCATCCCACTTTGGGTGGAGCCGCTCTTCTTTCTAAAAATTTGGCCAATATTGTTAGTCCTCCAAATGATTGACAACCCAGGGTCCAGTCCAGGAAGCAGTTGTAGTCTTACACACCTCTCTGCTGCTTCTCCTCTGTTACCCACCCAAAACCCATTGAAACAGTGCCAGCTAGCCCACGGCCCAAATTAAATAAACCAAACATCAACTCTAAAAACATAAATCATAAAAATCTTATTAAAATAAACTATTACTTTACCATAATAAAATCATCAAATGTGGATTATTGAACATCAGATCTCTTTCCTCTATGTCTTTGTTAATTAATGAGCTGATAACTGATCATATTGATTTATTCTAACAGAAACTACTAGTAGTAGTAGTAGAAGTACTTAATATATCATCACAATCCTGTTCTGTTTGACCATTTTTAATAACTTTTGAGTTTACATTAACTGACTACACAGCTACTAAGAATAAATTTCAAAAGTGTTTATCAGAGAACGCTGTAACTAAATTTAAAGAATCTGGTCCATTGATATTTTCCTTTGTTTTTCAGAGTAATGCACCAGAGAGCAGTGACAGATAATCTTGTTCATAATTTTACAACTTCAATGCAAACTTCCCTTGATAAAATTGCTCCTCTGAAAAAGAAAGTGATCAATCAGAGGAAACTGGCTCCTTGGTTCAATTCAGAGTTACTTATTTAAAAAAAAACATGCAGGCATCTAGAAAGCTGGAAAGAAAATGGTGCTCCACTAATGTTGAATAATTTTATTTAACTTGGAGAAATAGCCTGCTAACATATAAGAAAGCCTCTGTAAAGCTAGAGCTGTATATTATTCATCTTTAATATACGAGAATAAAAATAACCCCAGATTTCTGTTCAATACTGTACTAGACTAATGAAAAGCCCTGTGTCTGTTGAGCCATGTATCCCTACAACTATAAGTAGTGATGACTTCTTGAGATTCTTATAAATAAAATTATTTCAATTAAAGAGATATTCAAACCATCTTTCCTTCTACTACCCCTAGTCCCCTGTCAGATGATGCAAGTTTAGAGATATTACTAGAACCTGGTTTGTGTTTGGACTGTTTTTGTCCTGTTGAGCTCTTGGAATTGTCAAAAATACTTAAATCTAAATCATCAACATGCCTGCTAGATCCTTTCCCAACCAGACTGTTTAAAGAGGTATTTCCCCTAATTAATATCCACATTTTGGATGTGCTTAATTTATCTCTAACGAATGGTTATGTACCACAATGCTTTACGGTTGCTGTAATTAAACCTTTACTTAAGAAATCTGATCTTGACTCAGGAATCCTTGCTAATTATAGACCTATATCTAACCTAACTTTCAACTCAAAAATTCTAGAGAAAATAGTTGCAGGTCAGTTGTGTGAACATCTGAACAGAAATCATCTGTTTGGGGATTTTCACTCAGGGTTTAGAGCTCATCATATCACAGAAACAGCATTGGTGAAAATTACCTCTGATAATGGACTTGTGTCTATACTGGTCCTGTTAGACCTCAGTGCTGCATTTGATACAGCTGATCACAATATTTTACTACAGAAGCTTGAATATGATATTGGGATTACAAGAACAGCTCTAAGATGGTTTACATCATATTTATTTTATATTTTCCAGCTTGTAAATGTAAATAATGAATTTTCTTTAGACACCAAAGTTAGTTGTGGATTTCCTCAGGGTTCAGTGCTTGGACCAATACTCTGTACCTTACATATGCTTCTATTAGGTAAAGTTATTAAACAGCATGAGATACATTTTCATTGTTATGCTGATGATACTTGGTTATATTTGTCCATGAAACCCAATTAATCCAATCAGTTACTTAGACTTGTCTTATAGACATAAAAACCTGGATGGCCTTTAATTTTCTGCTTTTAAACTCAGACAAGACTGAGGTTTTGGTTTTTGGACCTGAGCATCTTAGAAATACATTTTGCATTATTTTACTTCCTCTGGATGGCATTAATTTGGTCTCTAGTTCTAATGTAAAAAAAAAAAAAAAAAAAGAACTTGGTGTTATTTTTAATCAGGATATGTCTTTTAACCCCCCCCACTAAAAAAAGTTACCAGGACCACTTTCCTCCACTTGTGTAATATCACTAAGATTAGAAACATCTTGTCCAAAAATTATGCAAAAAAAAAAAACCTCCTAACTTCACTTCCCTCACTCTGCTGCTCTTTACTTGCTCTACTCTACCCGCTCGTATTTGTAATTATTTCTTAACATGTGCTTTTCTTTTTTTACTTCTTCCCTCCAATAGAAAGTACACCTGGACCTGTCATTCTGTGTTTGTTTCTCCTTCCAGTCCTCTCAAACCCCAGCGGGTAGAAGCAGATGACAGCTCATCCTGAGCCTGGTCCTGCTGGAGGTTTCTTCCTGTTAAAAGGGAGTTTTTCCTTTCCACCGTCTCCTTTGTGCTTGCTCAGGATGGAAGACTGTGACAAAGTGAATATTCAAAACAATCTCCTGGTTTTCTTAGATACATAACTTTTACTAATTGGCTTTTATAATGCATGTGAATGTTTTTGTACTGTGCCCTGAGACGACTTTTGCTGCGACTTGGCGCTATATAAATAAATTTAATTAAAGTGAACTGAATACAGGTACCGATTAGCTTCTTTTTTTTTAACTGAAAACCAGAAAATTAACTTACACTAAAACAAACAAATGCATTCTCGTATCGTCATTAATTCAGAAAATATACAGTTCTTGAAGACCTATTCTAACAGTACTGCCATGACCATTACTTGCGTAAAGCCAAACTTTCCTGAATGTCACCTCACTGTAAACTCAAGTAATGGGGACTGAAAACCCAGTAACGAGGCCATTTTAGTGGAGAAAATACTGCAAATGTATTTAAAACATGTTTATCATATGTTACATATCTTGTAAAAACTTAATAATTATGAGGTTTCCTTCATTACCAGTGTATGCACTCAACACACGGTTATGATCATTTTCTGTAATATCCTGATAGGTGCTGACTGCCATCAGACTGTAATTTGTGTAATGTACAATGACAACAGGTATGTAGGTGTGTGAGAGTGTAAATGAGGAAGTTTGTCTCCTTAAATTTGGAAGTGAAATTGTGAGCTTGAAGCTGATGTGTTGTTTTCACACAGACTGTCACATTTATATGGTTGCCACTTTTTTCTTATGCTTTTTGTGTCTGTAGTATTTCTATCAACTTCTAATTAAAAAATCCAGTTTAAGTTTATCAGTCATGTAATCACAATGACATCATCATCACTAATCATACAGACCCCAGTTTAGATTTTTGACCATCTGATAGAATAGAATTACAACAGAAAGAAAGCCTGACAAACCCAGAATGATGTTTCTTTAACTAAGATCATTCTGTTGTGTTTGGTATTACAGAGACTTAGTGGCTCTAAGTGTTATAACTGGTGGACTTAACATTTACAAGTTGCATACTTTTTATATTAAAATGTGTTGTGAATGATGATTACTCAGATTACTCAGAGATTATTTTTTTTATAGTGTAACCCAGCAGACGACCTAAACAGGTCAAATGAGATTTTAAGTTGGCATTAGCTCTGAAAGTGTGGTCAACATAAAGATGAGTTGAATAATTTACTTTGATTAAATAATGTCAAACTGAAATAAAAATGAAATGCCCTAAGCATTGTAATAAACTCATATAATCACTGACCTCACTACCGTTGAACAGTCAGAAGTGAAGTAGTTAAGAGCTGCAGTGTGTTTATCAAGTTATGCTGACACTGAACTCTGTAAGGTTTCATTTATTTTCATGTTCCTCGTTACACCACAATCTGATGTTGTAAACGACTCTAATAAATGTGACCGTCTAAATGCAAATGTAGATGAGGTTGTTGAATACATTTGTGAATTAACAGAAACAGCAACAGACCAGCTGATGTCCTGTTTGTTGATGTGGGATTATTTACCTCCCTATTTACATACAAATTATATAATTAAGATCAGATCTCAAGAAGCTACTTGGGATGCATGTGGAAACACGTTCTCATTGCAAGTGTGAACGCACATAATTTGAGATGCCAAATTGCGATTAGAACACCCAGAGCAAATCATAAAACCAGACCTCTGCGCTCAGATTTTAGACAGAGTACCAGCGACTTGTTTCCAGCACACAACAGGAAGAATGTTATGGCTGATGAACCAACTGTGAGGTTCACAGGGACAAATGGTATCGAGACAAAGTGTGCGTGACTAGCTGTTAAAACATTGACAACTTGGAGAAATATGTTTCCAAATAAAGACCA